CTCTCTCTATCTCTCTCTATCTCTCTCTATCTCTCTCTATCTCTCTCTATCTCTCTCTATCTCTCTCTATCTCTCTCTATCTCTCTCTATCTCTCTCTATCTCTCTCTATCTCTCTCTATCTCTCTCTATCTCTCTCTATCTCTCTCTATCTCTCTCTATCTCTCTCTATCTCTCTCTATCTCTCTCTATCTCTCTCTATCTCTCTCTGTATTTAACTTATTCTCAACGTTTTCCTTGTAATTTCTTTGTTTACTATTGTAAATACTTACCTGTACAAATTCAAACAAAATAATTATTAAAAATACAAAAAAAAAAAAATTAATTTAATTAAATTAAAAAAAAGACATATATATATAAAATACGTCAAAATAGAATGAAAAAATTGTTTTTTAATACATGTTGATTTGCCACATTAAATGAAACCGGTGGGCGAATCGAACTCTGCATTTATTATTGACCAACAGAACATTCATTTCAATTCTGTCGAAATCGACTATAGAATCGATTGGCGAAAGCAGCAGATTCATTTTTCTTCTGTGCAACAAATACAATAGCCTGTTTTATCGATTGATGCACACACTCGCTCCTCATTTATGATGAAAAACATGCTTTCTCTCCGCTGCAGAGAACCTATGAATTCATGCTCACATCCCGTTCGTCTGGCTAGGTAAACAATCATACTTGGAATTTTTACATCAATAATGACTGCACATTATATATGCAACCATTTTTTTTTCTCACTCGCTTTCCGTGAAAATGTGCATCTTTCTACATAGTTCGGAGAGAATCAAACAATTCGTTTTTCACCATCACTAGTTTCAGACGTCGTGACTTATTAGAAAACTTCGTTAAAAAAAATATTGACGTCATATACCATATTGGGGAAAAGAAGAAATATACCTCTGGAGAATTATTATTATTCTCATATTGATATTTGATTTCTTTCAGAATCATCGATGCAGAGTCCAAAGCGTTCAAAATCTGCAGGCTACTTACAACGAATTTACCAATGCAATCGGGATATCTCTCAATGTCGTCAAGGTGTTCTTTTTATGATTCAGAAAGAGCAAGAGAGAGGATATATGATTAATCAAAATGATAGCAGAAAAATGGAAACCATACGCTTACGAATGAGCAGATTATATTTGCTGCAACATGATGAAATGATAAGAGTTTATTCCAATGGTGTTATCTCGAGACCGATGCCAGAAATACCAGATTTTCCCAAAATTGACATGCAATTACAACTAAGACTTCAGCCATCCACGAATGACCGTCCAAAGCAAAGAAACGTCGAACCAAAGCCTATGCTTAAAACCGACCCACTTGTTAATCGACCATCATCACCTATTCCTGTACTTGAAGTAGCCGCCGTTGTTTTCGAAAAAAATCAAGCTATCATTGACATGAAAATCAAACCAACCGAATCCGATGAATCTGCTGATGATGATATGAAAGACAAAGATAATGATATTGTCTATCCAGCGGGCGTCACTGATCGTCGTCCGTACAAAACTGTCGCTCAATATCGACGAATGATAGGAAAATCGACCGATTTCAACGCCCAACCTCTTTGCATTGGTGAAGATCAAACAGAAACAACTGTTCTCGGTTTGAATAGTTTTGCTGAAAAACATGGCTGTGAATTGATATTCACCGATGAAGATCATCGATTCGACAATAGTATCTATCGTGCTGCCTGTGGTATAGTCGATTTAGGAAGTATTCATCTCTTGGCGACTGATGCGGTGCAAACAGCGAATTTTTGCTTCATCATGGATTTCGATTTTAACAGTGAGTTTCAACAATCGACAAAGAAAGTAGAGACATTCGTCATGGATTTTAGTCAAGCGATTGCAACCGTTTTATCATGTGATACAAACAATATTCGAGTGTTTTCAATCAGTAAAATGGAAAAAGAGAAGAAGAAGAGTGAAGTGAAGTTTGGAGTGACATTGCCAGAAGCAAACAAGACTGAACAACTTGCGGATATATTAAAGGTATGCTTCTCTCTGTTATAGATTTCAGTTTAGGATAGTTCCTCTTTTTCGGTCATTTCTGAATTTCGCTGGAGATGTACTCATATCGACCGAATTTCTAACCAGAGATAGATCGTCCACAATAAGGTGGCATGTTCAAGAAAAAGGAATGTAAACCAGATTTTCGAATTTTTTCAGACTATCTCTAGAGAACTACAGTTTTTCAAAGAGTCTGTTGGGCTTCCATGTGACAATTTTTGCTAGAAAATGCGTTAGCACTGATGGAACTACGTTTATTATACTTCTTTTTCTCAAGAATCGCATCATTCTCATACAAAACATACAGTTATATACTGGTCCACAAGAAACAAGAAAAGGAAAGAATAATAAGTACGGGAAGAAGGAGCAATAAGATAGAGACACAGTACAACATAAAATACGAAGTAAGGACAAAAAAATGGAAATACATCAGATGAGAAGAAACAACGAAAAAAGAATAAACATCATGCATACAATGCATGCAAGCGAAAACGTTACACTACTTTCAACTTCTCTCTAACTTTATTCAATCGAGCTGAATTTTTTCATCATAGATAATAGCTGGGTGTGGGTGTGGGTGCGGGTGCGGGTGTGGGTGACTTTTCCAGAGAACCGCACCCCCAC